GACTGGCACATTCTAGCACTAATCGATATCAGAATTGCCTTGGCTGCCCAACTGTGACTCACTTGGCCAGGTTTCTGCAGACTTGAACGAAGTGAAGCCAGTGAATGTTGACCATGATTTCAATTAGCGAACTCCTAAATTCCTACCGTACACCACGGTCACCTCCTAACTCAATACAGCGGAGCTGCCATCATTGAATCATGCGGGCGCTGCGACGATGCGGTTTCGTGTGAAACCTGTCGGTTGACCTCGAAGCAGCAAAAAGGGGGACATGCAATTCTCTGCCTTTGACAGCTGTAGTCATCAGAATCACACATGTCGCCTCCCAAAGCCGCGCTTTGCCACGTCTTGCAACCATAGTTTGGCCTGCCAGATTCCGCCAAGCATAAAAAAAATTGCACGCCAAACATCCCTTCAAAACATGCATTGTAACACTCCGCAGGTGAATCTTGTTTCGGTCTTGGCATGTGTCCATCTCTGATATCAAATATACTGTGTACACTTAGCGGTTAGGCGTAACAATCTGCACATCAGAAAAGCAGCAAAGGCAACTTTGATAACACAGATACAACAATGACGCTAAGGTAGATACAAGTTCTACACCTGGCAATCGCGCCGCGCCTCCCTTGTTCAACAAAGCAAGTGGGCCCAGCTCAACGCCGCTGACCGTAGACTTAGATGTTCCAGGAGCAATCAATTCACGGAACAGCGAGTGTAGTAGAGCACCAAAGCCGCTCAAAGCAGACTTCTATGCGGCTGTGACACGGCTTCTTTGCTGGTTTGCTCAGGCTCCTGCTAGGCCATAGCAAGATTAGATGGATCAAGATAGTCATCTCAAAATCTTGAATGGCGAACAAATATATATATATAGACTCAAGAGGATAAATGATTGTGCAGCAACAGAAATCCTGTGACTGAATGATTCAACAGGCTAAGTGCACCTCCTGCGGCTTTTCAGGGGTAGCAGCTGTAGATGTGAGCATTTTGGGGGATTTCGGCAGATCTTCCTGCGCGGGCACATTTACACACATTTGCCACATCTTTGCATTCAACAAACAGGGACTCTCATAATCTCAATGTAAGTCAAGCTATATCAGCCCAATCGATCCATGCAAGCAGTAGTGCAATAGCAGACCTCAGCAAGACTGGCTTCCACCTCTGCTACTCCTTCAGGTTCTTGAGTCACCTATCATGCCAGCACAGTCTGTCAATTTGGATTGGCCCATCTAGTTACCAGCAATCACTGTAGCTCACACAGTACATATGCTCTCATTCATTTGCGAATCGGATTTGAACAAGGTAGCCAAGGAACATCGGAATTGACGAAACTTTTCAAAGTTCAGGGTAGAGATCTCACGCCTCACACAGCCAGGATTGAATGGCAATGCATCTTCAACATCGTGATGAGTCCATAACATGTGGAGAAACTTTGCAATCATTTTACTACATCTGATTGTAATGTCATGGGCCTGGTGTCACCAGACTCCCTCATCAAAGACGGCATTTGTCTGGCACTAGCTGGAGGAGTCAAAACACGTTTTGGCGACAAGCGTGCCTCTGCCTTGACTTTTCGAAAGGTGGGCGGCGGCGACCTCGAAATTCACAAGTGCATTATCTTCCAATCTCCCTTGATGAAACTGCAAAGCTCATCAATGATCAAAGTCAACAAAGTGATCTGTGTCCTTCATGAAATGATTAACAGTATGCCTCAACCATATTTCCTAGATGAGTTCTGACAAAGCCCAACTGTCAAACTTTTCCTCCTCTCTGATTGCTTTTGTGCCCAAGCACCACAAGTGCAATACAGCCAATACAGTACCGCTCTGATACTGTCTCACTGTCAGGACCGCCACTCTCTAGACGAGACACATATCAAACAGCATGGGTGAGCAGCATTGGTCGGTGGATGGTTCGAAAGTATGGCAACATCTTCCTGAATTTAAGCCAAGTCGGTGAAGTGAGTCGTCCGAACACCCATGAGCAGCAACTCCAAAGATCTGTCCAGGGATCATGACAGGTCCACTTCACCGGCGTCCCTCCTTGAGGGAGTACCAGGCATTGAGGACACAAGAGATGCCCTCTATGGACTCTATGGCCAAATCATTTCTTGCTCCTTGAGGCCTGTGATCGGGAAAGGGGATTGACCCTCGAGTGACCATGCGCATGGCCACGAGTTTTCAAAAATGCAAACAGCTGCGACACGCATGGCCGTAGTGACCATAGTAATAGTATCTGCATAGCAGTACATTCAGAAGATGTTTCCGTGTTGCTGACCACCCAAAGCGCAGGAGACTTCAATCTTTCGTGTCACAGACCTTCACAACAGACCTTCACCGCTTCATCGTGTCTCAGGTCTCGATCCTTCAATGTTCAGTTTGGCAAAGAGTGCAAGGTGGTCGGAGACTTCAATCTCTGGGTTCCTTCCACGCGTGTCCAAAACCTCCCAGTGCATCAGCCGTTCCTTCAAACTGCTTGTCACGAACACGTGATCTGGCGCAGATTGAAGCGAGGCCTCAAGGCCACATGTCCATTGTGTTGACCAAATGCTCGATTGAACTCATCTTGACTCCATTTGTAAAACTCGGAAGCTTTGGCATCTATTTGCCCCAAAAGGAACTGCCAACCAGGGCTGGGCACAACCAAAACTGATGAATGACAATCACTACTCAGCACTTCTGTGAGAGCTTGTTCGATGGGGTAGTTTGATCTATTCAATGGACCTAAACATTCAGCAGCTCTGATGGTATGCGAACCAAGTACGTCCGCAACAAAAGAAATGCTGATGCAGTGCATCTTCCTCTACTACTTTAGGTTCTACACTGACAGAAACCACATAATTTAATTGCTGAAGATCACTACTAGTACTCATTTTGGACTGTTGGCATCTGGCCAAATTCCAATCAATCTCTTGAAATGTCTGCCTCATTGGCTCGTAGTGTCGAAGTCAAAGGCACTTCTGCCAGTCCACATTGGGCGAAGCTGGCAACCATGCTCTTGTATTCGGAGCCTCCGTCCAGTGCCTTGCTGCGGGGTGCGTCATGAGAACAAGGGAACGGAAACAATACATTACTATTTACTTGCATATGTATATATATATAGTTAGACATGACATGCCGAAAAGCCTTGATAGGTTTACACACTACAAAATTGTTCCAGGTCAAATTCCAAATGGGAATATATACCCTGGGGCGGATTAATTATCTTTGTTGAGTCCTCTATTTCACATCAATTGAGCGAGCGCCAAAACCTATGGGCACAAGAGCAGAACTCCATATAATGGCATCGCTTTTGGTTGTTCTCCATATCGTTTGCACACTTTCTCTTGAAATCAAAAAAGTGACGGAGAGGGAGTAAGTATTCTGTGACACAGCACTTTTTCTAGAGATTATTTATACCAACCATCCTCCACAATCGCTTTGTATATTGATAGGAGCTCCCTTCATCTACATCGCATTTTGCATTTTGATCATTCATTTGTAGGCATTGCTTTATGTAAAGCAACAAAAGCAACAATAAGATTTGAATCAAATGATCGAAGGTACCTTGTCAGGGTATCGTCTTTGGTGTTTCCCTATATCGCAGCAAAGGACCCTTTTGAATGTTGCTCATTTTGAAGGCAGGCATACCATCTTACCCATTTTGGCCGTGATTTAGCCACGTCGCTATGCCCAGCTCTTGTCCGCAAACATTGAAGTCCCCCACCACGATGACAGAGTCCTTTTCAAGAAGCAGTTCCTGGTGGGCACAACTGAAAGAGTGCCTGGCTGAGGCTTTCTTGATCAAATATGATCTCATAACAACCAAGATTATAATTTCTCATCTACAGTATGACCACTTCTAAAGAATTTAGCATGCACATTGCTATTCATATGAAGGTGCAAAGGGCTATTCATGAGCGCCACTGTTCCGAAAACTGGGCTGCAGAACTGGATCCGTCCTTAACTCGGTCAACAACTTCGCGCCACTGCTGTTCACGCACTCGCCGCCACTTAGGAGTCTGTGCGTGCTCCATGTGCGTGGTGAGAATCACCAAATCCATGGAAGACAACTGCACCTGCCAATTTCGCGGGAAGCAAGACTCAAAAGTTTAAACTTAAAGCTGCATATACTCACAGTGGTGTTGAAAGCTACTACAGTTGCTTTCCACTTCGGCGACTGGCCTCTACTTCCAACCACCCTTTGGCTGTAACTGTCCTTCGCTCCGTGAAAATACGATGTCGTTCTGAGAAGGTGGGCTTTTTGGAGCAGATCATCAGTCCAGAGCTTTGACCCAAGAAGGGCATGGTGGCCTGTGGCCAATGTTCGACCATGTTCGACCAGTAGCTACTCAAGTAACCAATGTAAATGCTAGACACTATATTATACTAGTCAGCCTCACGACTTGCTTCAACGTCAACCGCAACTTGATCACTTCTAGGCATTGACTTGACAGTTTCTCAGTGTTATGCCATAGCATGTGCAACAAGTCGCTACGACCTAAATTGTCTGAACATGCCTGAGCAAAGAGCAAGAATCAGTTCATCAAATCGAATTATTAAGCTGATGTATAATGACTTACTGATACTTACTGTAACCTTCTCAAGTGTCAAGACCACAAAATATCATGTGGAAACCAACAAATACAACCGGTCCCTGGATCCACTTGAAGAGTATCTGCATTGACCATGCCAAGGCCTACAAATCCTTGGCGCAGAAAAGTAACAAAAATGAATAAAAACAGTGTATGGGTAAGGGCCCCGTTTAACTTTCATATGGGCCCTTCAGAGGGCCCTTACTAAATGAAATGCCGCAACGCCAAGCTACCTTTTCCTCAAAAGGACAGGCTCAAGGGCCCTCGGGGTGATCGGGCCGAGACACCGGCACAGCAGGTTCAGGTCCAAACATGAGTCCAGTCCATGTTGTTTGACATCCTTCAGGGGGGACATTCATGTTTGGGAGATGTCATGCTGGACCTGCCTGACGGGCCAGTGCAAACCTCGCGGAGGCCATCACCCTCCTCAAAAGCGAGGAATTCCCTAACCTCTTCGTGAGAGGATCTGCCAACATCTCACTTCCAGGCACCCAAAAGGTCTTGACCTTCAGGGCTCGCGCACTGACGAAGATCACCGCCACGTCCACCTGGGCCCTTCTGTCGTGCCCAGCGTTGCCACTCCTCCTCGAAAGGAGGTCGAACAAGGCTTTGGCGTCGGTGACATGTGCGCCAGTGCCTCCATCGATCACTCGGATCGACCGAACCTGCTCATCTTCCTCCTCCGGCAAGCGAACCACCAGAGCAGATTCTTGGTCTCCAAGGCGGGCGCCGTCCATGACATTGCTGGCAGGGTTGAGCACTTCATTCCAAAGCGCTCTCAGCCATTCAACCTCCGCAAGGGCGTCGTCCATGGCCATGATGCCTCACTCCCCAATGTGGCCTTGACCACTCGTTTGAGCTTGTGGGACTTCCATGAGTTGATGGAGAAGGTGGCCGATGCTCCATCCAGGATGCTTTGATGCACCAGGGCCAAACGGAATCCGCCTTGGCTCTTGTTCTCGAGGTTGGCCAGGCTTGCATCAGCGATCGAGAGCCAGATCGCTTCATCCGGCGGGATCGGCATGACCCGCAGGAAAGCATCAGCAGTTCCCTTCAGCTCATTCACGGTCTTGTTCGCGGCCAAGATGTGCTCGACCGTCGGGCCTTGGGAGCTCCATGACATAGCCATGGCACAGGCAGCGCCAACGTCAGGGCGGCCCTCTTTGCCGACCCAGAGGAGTGATCCTCCAACTCCACGAAGCCAGCCAATCTCTTGCTCTGTCAGCAGGGAGGTCTTCTCTTTCAAGCGCTCCTTGGGCAAGACCACCGGCTTGAGCTTCTCCATGATGTAGCGCTGCATGCTCACCTGAATCTCATAGGTTTCCAGCTGCTTGAGGGTCCTGCCAATGTACTCGGCAGAATCTTGGAATACATTGCGCCACTTGCCAAACTTCAGCCTCGTGCGCAGCTGGCTCATGAGGTGTTGATGCCTGTCTCCTCCTCCTTGACAAAAGTCATCCACATCAAGCAAAACGACTCCAGCCACTTGAAGCTTTGACCCAGCCGCCAGCTCTGCATCGTCGGGCTTGAGGTAGTAGAAGCAGGGGTCGAAGACACGCGGACAGTCTTCCTCCAAACAGTTGGTGCGGTCACCAAACCATATACAGCTGTCAGCACCCGAATGAGGCAGTCAGGTGCATGACCAGGAATTCCGGTCGGAGGCATATATAGAGGCAAACAAAGGGCCTTGTTCCCTTTCATGTGGATCACTCTGGCCAAAGGCTGAGGAGACGTCCATGATGTAGAGGTGGAACTTCATGGAAGCATGACCTGCAAACAAAGCATCACCGTTTTGGTGAAAGGAGTTGGTGCAAAACGCTCCTGTTGTAAGTGCATCAGGATCTTTGTGGCCAAGAAGGATCCATCGTGCTTTGGCTTTCCAATCTTCTCCAAGTTCTCCAGCTTTCTTGGTGATGATGAACCTGGAGGGCATGATGCGGTGAGGAAAGTCTTTTCGGATCCGGGCCAACTCAACAGGGTCCGTGATGACCTCAATGGCGTTGGAGCCAACCAAGTTGCCAATCTCGAGGGTCTTGGCTTGATCAAACATGGCTCGCTCCACCGCAGGAATGCGGCGTTCATCCAACTCTTTTCCAGACTGCTTAGTGAGGTAGCTGAGGGAGGTCTCAGGTTCCAAGAGGCCGTAGTAGAGGTCGGTTTTCTCGAGCTTGGAAAACTGCCGGACATCACGGCTTCCAGCAATGACAGGAAATCGCCTCTTGTCGCCCCACTCAGTCACATCATCAGCTCGCCATACTCCAAACAGCTTGGTGCGACTGGCAATGCGGTTGTCAGGAGGATCCCCTTCAAGGCTTCTCTTGAGGCCAACATCGATCACGCGGGCATCTTCTTGTGGAAGATCAGGTTGAGGAAGTGGTTCAACAGGTTTGTCCTCAGGGACGGTCAACAGAGGCTTGCCAGGATCAGGATGGTCTGGCACTTTCTTGTAGATGAGCGTGGTCTCGACGTTCCTGACTCCTGTGGGAAGCTTTCGATGTGCGTGGTGAACACGGAGTTCAGGTGTGATCACCTCATCTGACACGACATTGCCCTTGTCCAAGTCCAGCGTCACGCGGCGCACCGCATCGCCCCAAAGCGGGCCTTTGGAGTTGCTCCCACGGAACCTCTTTGCTTCAAGGTCAACTCGGTTCCATTGCCGTAGGTCTTCATCAGGTGGTGGTTCCGCGGCCGCAGGCGCAGCTGAAGATGAGCTGGTCGACTTGGCATTCTCAATGGTTGCACGCCAAATTTCATCGCCATCTCGAAGTCGCTGAGATGGTCCAGCTGCTTCAGCCGAGGATGCCAAAGGTGAAGTGGCAGGCTGTGAAGGCATTCCTTTAGATGAAGCCTGATCTCCACCAGGTGTATTTGCAGTTTCCGGTCTCGATGTCGAGAGCGGTGTTCTTGTCCCGGTGGTAGAGTTGCCCTTCTCTTTGGTTGTGTCATCCTCAATCTCAATGACCTGAGCAGCTGGTGTCCTTGGTGCGGGTGATCTTGATCTCAAAGTCTCCTTTCTCACATGCTGCTTTGGTTCCGTTGAAGGCGTAGCTGGTACAGGTGTGATTCGGGGTGTCTTCAAGCCAGTACGTTGCTCCTCCAGGAGTTGAAGGATTCAAAACTTTGGATCCTTCAGGGGGTCCTTGAGAGACCGGTGCACGCGGAGTTGCAGGTGCCCGTGGTGTGGCAGGCACTCTTGGTGTGGCAGGTACTCGTCGAAGGACTTCTTGTGTTGGAGCTTCATGAGGTTCTTCAGGCGGAGGTCCTTCTCCTTCGACATCCACAAAGGGCATCTTCTCAGAATGGAATCGGAGGCGCTCTTTTGCACGAAGAAGTTCCATTGGAATTGCCTCCAGCCCTTGCTTTTCAAGGTTGCCCATGGGGAAGACTTGTAGTTTGCCACACTTCCAAAGCTCTCCTCGTCTGGTGACCCAGACTGTCTCTCCACGTTGAAGCACCACGAAGCAGGGGCCAATTTTGGCATGTGTGCCACGGCGTCCTTGGCGCCAAACCCAAACAGGATCACCCTCAGTGAACTTCAAATCTTCTCGGGCTCGACGTGGGCGTGATCTCAAGGCTCTCTGCAGCTTCTCCTTGGAGTCCAGCTCAACCAAGGCTTTTCTGGCGGCCTGTCTGATCTCTTCGCCTCGTTGCCAGGCCTGGTCTGCAGTGGGCGATTGGGGCTTGTCATACACGCCACTGTCATTGGTGAGCTCCATGGCGACGGAAGGTTGTCGCCCAAAGACTCGCTGAGCTGGCGAATAGCCACTGCGGTTAGTCATCGTCTGCAGAGCCCAAGAAACTTCATAGATATGTCCTGGACTTCAGTCACATCGCTTGGCTGCCGGAGCTCTTTAGTCTTGTAGTAGACGTCCTTGAACAATGCTCCACGGCGTTCTGTCACACCGTTCTGGTGTGGTGATCCTTGGTCGATCAGGATCGGCTGGATGCCAAGCTCCTCAAGGCCTTCAATGAACTTGCCTTGAAATTCAAGTCCTTGGTCCAGGATCACGAAACTTGGACTGCCAAACGTTCGAATCCAGCAGCGAAGGAAGGTGCTCCAGCAAAGGTCCGATGATCTCCTGGTCGGGTGGATCATGGCAAAGGTGCTGTAGAGCGTGCCAATGCAAGTCATGTTGAGCACTGGGTGTTCTTCTTGATTGACCCCAGTGACAAACAGCACATCGCTGCCCAGAATGATGTTGAAATCATACCCTAAGGATCCGAGAATCTACTTTTCATGGCTGCCAGCCACTTTCCAAGGTTCTGGCCCCCTAGAAGCCAATGCTGGAAGATAAGATTTGTGGCTGGCAGCTAGGATTCATGGCTGGCAGCCACAAATCTTATCTTCTCAAAACTGGCTGGCAGCCATGAAAAGTAGATTCTACTTCTAAATGTGGCTTCTGCCCAAACTCATGTTACCACCTCCAAGAAGCGCTTCTGGGAAGCCACTTTTTGTGGCTTCCCAGAAGCGCTTCTTGGAAACAAGATATTTGATATGTTGCAGCTGTTTGGCTTTAAGCAAGCTAGGTATAGATGTCAGGAGAAGCAACGCTGCCCATCCCCCAGCCTGCAATAAAGGCAGATATCAGCAAGCTGGTGGCCTTTGCAAAAGGCTTCCCTGACTCTTGCAATGCAAACCTGTGGCCAGCTGACCCTGAAGAAGCCTGCGCAAGGCATGCATTGTTTTTGGGTGTGTGGTTCAAGCATGGGGCTTTGAGC